ACTCTACACTAAAAAAATATGAGTTTAAAAAAGGAAAAATAGAAATACAGGCATGAAAAAAAGCAAAAATAATAACAAACAGAAATTAAAAATTAAGTTTGCTAAAATTTCTAAGAAAAGAAACACATACATAAAATTAAATTTATAGAAAGATACAAAAGTACAGACAAAAAAAAGGATAATATTTTTTTTTAAAACATGTTTTTTATTTTGCATCCAAATATATTAGTTTTAAAAATTATTAAACAACAGGAAAAAAAATTGAATTCAACTATACCTAACCTTGTAAGCTTGTAAAGTAAACTCCTACAGTAAAAAAGTAAAAGAAGAACTAAAGTAGAAAAGAAAAAAGAAAAGAAAAAAATAGTAATAGACAAGGACTATAAAATGAAAAGTAAAAAGTAAAGTATGTTTTTTTAATGGAAGTCAACAAGTCAAATTTTTGATGAAAAAATAAAAAATAAACAAAGAAATTTTGAACACTCCATTTTTTTCGTGGCAAATTGATGAGACCACCGATGTAAAGTGTTGCTCCCAATTATCTGTAATTTTTCGATATATTGCTTACTTTAGAGGCTTTTTAATAAAAATAATTTATTTATTTAATAATTTGTGTAACTATTGATAAATGAGTAAATCATGACTTCACTAAGTGAAATGCTTCAAGTGATCTAATGTTTGACACGGTTGAGCCGCGCTTGAGGACATTTCAACTCCTAGGATTTAAAGTATTTCAACTCCGGTTACAAAAAAGCCACTTCAACTATTTCTATAGAGAAATATAAAGGCGCAATTTTCGATCGCTTGAAGATAAAATTATATATTTTAGTCTCAATTCTGCAATTTTCTACTTTGTTATTAATTTTTTTTTTTCAAATTTAGTGAGTTTCTTTGTAAAAAAAATTCAACTGTGTTTTTACAACATTTATTTTTTTATTTATAAGTAATAAATTTTTTGTTGAGAAAACGCAGTTTGCACTTAATACTTAATTTTATAGAATTTGTTCTAGTCCTAATCTAGCAATTTTTTTACTTTATTTTGCAAAATATTTATAATTTAGTTAGTTTTTTAGTAAAAACTGCTCTAAACTCATCAAAACTTGCAAAAATCACGTATTTTAAACTTAAGTGAACATTTTTACAGTTTTCTATGTGTCAACAGAAAACACTTTTTTATTTTTGAATAATTTTTCAAATTCAGTGAGATTGTTTTAGTAAAAAACCCTTTAAATCTATTAAAATAAGCAATAATTATGCATTGCCGACACTTAATTTGACAATTTTACACTTTGTTTTGGTAAAATTTCAATTTTGTAATTTTTAGTTGATCAACGTTCTTCTTGGTTTTAATTAAAAAAAAAAGTATGAGTGCTTGAATTTTTTTGTGGAATTACACTGAGTGGTGCATTTACGTAATTCACTGCTTCATTATGTGCCAGTTACTTTCAAATTATTTCTTTCAGGAGCTTTCTTGGTCCCTTACTGCATTATGTTGGTAATCGGAGGCATTCCATTATTTTACATGGAACTTGCATTGGGTCAGTTTAATAGAAAAGGTGCCATAACCTGTTGGGGTCGTTTATGTCCGCTCTTCAAAGGTAAGAAAATCGAACAAAATTAGAAATTTTTACACAAGTTAGAGTGAAAAAAAGTTTACTTATCTCATTTAATTTCTAATTTCTAAATAGCTTAAATCATAAGTTTAAAAAAAATATGTCGGGGGAAATTTTGACAAAATCAGAGAAGACAACGATGAGTGTTATAGTCCTTACATTTATTTTTAATGTTATAATTAATGATGTGTTTTTAAAAACTATAAATTAGGCAACTGAAATTTAGTTCCGACAGTTTGTCTAACTTGAAAAAACCAAAGTTGAAAACGCACCGTAAAAATGCAAACAAATCCCGGCCGTAAAATCTCTTGCTAACAACAGGTGACGGCAACGAAGAAAATAATGTAAAAAATCTAAAGTCTGCCGAAGTCAATTATCCACTCCCGTGAATCTCCGGAAGCCTCAGACCGGAAACGTGCGAGAGCGGAGCGTATTGTGTGTGACTGCGTCTTTGCCATAAAAGACATTCTCCTACTTCCTGCTCTGAAAATGCGAGTAAGAGAGAGGCCGAAACGACTATTAATATTCAGCGCGATTTTCAACGGCTGTGTAAAGTGCTCCAAGAATGGTCACTCGCCTTTCCCGGATTATAGCCATATTTTAGCTGTTAAGGCATCACGAAATACTCACAGATTTATGACTTTTATACGATTTTGGGACTTTAAATTTATCTCCATCACTTAGGGCATTGCTTATTAATTCCACTTAAAATTATGACTATTATGAGATATAAAAAATCAATTTTTTTAAATATATACAACTGTTCCAGCGAATTAATAAAAAAAATTAAAAAATTCGGTGTTCCGTCTAAACCCCACATTAGAAGTATTGGGAGTTCGAAAAATCGTATTTATTGTGTATTGGTGTATTGCCATAAACCATTAAGTTCTCATACATGAAAATATTTTCAAGATGGCGGCACTTCCGGTTATACCGGAAGTCGGTCTCAACTTTTTTATTTTAAATGGAAAGCTATATTTTTTACTGGGTTTTTGGATTAATCGGGTCATTCTAAGGGAGTTTTTATCAGCTTTTCCTATACTTAAATTTAGCCGTTTTTGAAATATTTCGAGTTTTTCAAAAATTTATGGATCTGCACCTTCCACTTTAAAAATCGGTAACTCTGCCATTTTTTAAAATTTTGAATTTGTTTTTTTGGCGTTTGAAAGAGAAAGCTTAGATCTTTTTTCTGGTGTTTTAAAATTTTGAAAAAAATACAAATCCCAAAATTTTAAGGTTACCTTTGTAATTATTCAAATACTCATAACTCAAATTTTTCAAATGATATACCCCAATTTCTATTTTACTAAATAGAAGAGAATATAATTGTGCCTTGATCTGTATTAACATTCCCTATACCTAAATTTAATAATTTTCAAGTTATGGACTTTTTGTTAAGACTACAGAAAATTTATTACTAGCCACACCCGTTTTCACATACAGGGTGAATATAAAGTATGGAACCAAGCGGATTTATTTTTGATGATTTGCCTCCAGAAAATGATAATTAATATAAATTAGAGTAATATAAATTTTGTTTTGTTTTTGAGTTACGCGATTTTTTTTTGTCGAAATTGCAATTTATGTGAAAATTTTTTTTTTGAAAAAATTAAATATAAAGCGGATAGTTGTAATCCTTAAAATATAGCTTTTATGAGAAAAATGATTTTATAGTGGGTTGCCATTTAAAAAAATTATTTTTTTTGTAGAACTCAAAAACAAAAGAAAGTTTCGAAAATTTTATTCTTGTTAAATCATCACATTTTTATAGTTCTTTATTACTCATTAATTAGTTTTTTCAAAAAATAAATAGTTTAAGCAAAAAACGTTTGGTTCCATACTTTTTATTCACCTGGTAGTTTGCTATGGAAATCAAAAATGTCAAAATTTTCTCTAAACAAACGTCAACAGTAAATTACTATTTGACAAATAGTGCCAAAATATGAAGAATAAAAGTTACGCAAACTTAATTATTATTAAATTAAATACGGTTATTCGAACTCCCAATACTTCTAATGTGGGGTTTAGACGGAACAGCCTGTAGATATTGCTCCTAACACGCTCTACAATTCAAAATTATTTTCATGTATACAAAGTGTTTCAAAAATAAGATACAAACTTATGCTTTTTAAATAAAACACCCTACGTTTTGCTACATTTTTGGATGAAGCTTTTAACTTCGAAATTAAACTTTTCTTTCCAACAGGGAATAAAGTGACGCTTTATTTCCTAGTTTTTGAATAATAATCTAGTACTTTATCCTCGGAAATAAAATAAATGAAATTCCGATTTTAACTCTTAAAATAAATTGGAATTGAATGAATTGAATCTTTTGAGATTTTTGGCAAAATAATGTCGATTTTGACTCTTAAAATTGCAATTGATTGAATTAAATTTTAATAATTTGACAATTTTATCATTTTCCCACGTAATTATTAATTTTGTCTGTTGGGAATAAAGTTTTGTATACATTTGGAATAAACAAGTTAATCTCTCGAATAAAAATGCCCTTGGCGTCTCTGACATTACCTTTATTCTTGGGATTAAAATCGTTTATCCTTTTAAAAAGAATACACAAAAATAAAAAACAAATTTTAAAACCTTTTACAACCTTTTCGTGCAATAATTTTTTGTGTATTACAGTAAAAAAGAAAAAAAAAAGAAAAAATTTGTCAAAAGTTAAGTAACTTGTGRCATGCTACTGTTTGTTTTTGCATTTAAGGGATTATTAAGTTGTCTATCCAAAAACACAAACTACTACATAGTATTTAAATATAAAAAAAATGGTTTCAAAAATTGCGCAGTAGCACAAGAAATGGAAGAAATATCACTCAAGAATCACAACAATGTTGTACTGATTCCATTATTTTTTATTTTTGCGATACAACAATTTGAATTTTAATATTTTCGATGGATAAACCTCAGATAAATGATTCGTGGTGGAATTATACAATGGTAGAAATAGTATGAACAATATTCATTTAATGTTAGACATTTACTAATTTTAAACATTTAAAAGTTTATGTTTTTACGTAGACCAYCTAACAATCTATTGGATGCAACAAAAAAAATATGGTGCTTCATTTAAAACTCTACACTAAAAAATATGAGTTTAAAAAAGGAAAAATAGAAATACAAAAATGAAAAAAAGCAAAAATAATAACAAACAGAAATTAAAAATAAAGTTTGCTAGAATTGCTAAGGACAATAAATTTATAGAAAGATATAAAAGCACAGAAAAAAAGAAAAAAGGATAATAAAAACCAATCTTAAATTTTTTGCAAAATTTTGACTTAAAAACAACGAATTTAAAAACATATGTTTTTTATCTTGCATCCAAGTCCATTAGCTTTAAAAATTATAAAACAAGAGTAAAAAAAAGTTGAATTCAACTAGACCTAATCTTGAAAAACGAAAACTTTCTTGACATACTCATTCTTTTAAGTAAAGTAAACTCCACCAGTATAAAAGTGAAAGAAGAACCAAAGTGGAAAAGATAAAAGAGAAGAAGAAAAAATGATAATAGACAAGGACTATAAAATCAAAAGTAAAAAGTAAAGCATGTTTTTTTTAAATGGAAGTCACCAAGTCAAGATTTTGATGAAAAAATTGGTAACAGCTTATCTCTAAAGCTACAAATTTTGTTTGCTTTGTGTTTTGGTCTCTAGAAATTTTGTTAAAAAATTATGGCTATGTTTTCATGTTGAGATGCCAAAATTTTGACTCTATGAATTTTGTGTGCTCTTTGAAAGCATTATAACTTATAATCTAAAACCTGAGGACAGATGTCACTAATACCTATTAACGGTGCAACCAGACACTAATTTAATTGCGTTCTCTTCTTCATGTTTATTTTGTATTCTCGTCATTTTTTTGCTAAAAATTAGAGAATGTTTAGCAAATCTGCATTACAAGTTATGTCTACATTTCAACGGTGGTCTTTTTCTAACTTCTGCTTGTACACTTTTTGTGTCCAAATTTCCGAAAAATGTTGCGATTTCGAGTTTGTTATTTAAATTTCCTTAGACTTTTTTTGCTGATTTTAATATGATAGTGTTTCACATAAAATCAAAAACCGGAACTACCAACTTTTTTTATTAAATTGCTATGAATTAGGTAGTGGTACCAACGTCGAGAATGTTCGACATTTCTATTAAAAAAAATTGACTATACAGGATGCGCGAGAACTCGTGCACCAGAGAAAAATGAGATACCAGGAACATGGAAAAGATGTTAAAAAAATTCTATCTATACAAATTTCAAAGTTATGAGAGTTTTAATTTAGCACTTTGACTATGTTTATTTCTGTTTAATTTTCCAAGTTTTTTTGCTACAGGCTATTAGAAGAGGCAACAAAGAAGTTATATCCTAAATTGTAACACTGTGTAATCTTATTTGTGGCTTTTATTAGCAAAATTTTTGAACTTTTACTAAATAATTATAAAAAAAACATACAAAATCATCAGTGTCATAAAAAAGTGTCAAATGTCAAAAAATATATGTCAAATTTTTTTGACAGATAGAATTTTTAAACATTTTTTCCATGTTCCTGGTTTCTTATCTTACTTTAAATTTTTCTATGGGGCGCGAGTTCTGACACCCTGTAGGCATATCTACAATTTTGAAAAATTATTTAAAAACGAACAAATAAAGATATTAGGAGTAAATACTCAAAATAAAAATAAAAGACAGATAGGAAAAAATAAGAATTGCTAAGTATATGTTTTTAGATTTGATCTATATCTTATATCGAGCGATTAAGATAATTTGTAATCGAGTCAACTTTGAATCCGAAAACGTATGTCTATAAAACGTCAAATAAAATGACAAGTTGAAAGGTAAAATGGTATGATCAAAAAAATTATGATTTTAATAACTAAATTTATGCAATACCTTCAAAAAAGATCGTTAACGGTTCTATTATTATTATTGTGCGCCAGCGACTAATTTTATTTGACGTTTCACATGCACTTAGTTCAAAAGCAGACATACGTTTTTGGATCCAAAGATGACTCGATTACAAATTATCTTGATCTCTCGACACAAACAATTTAGAAAAAGAAAAAAAAATAAATATGTTTACTGATTTCAGGAATAGGGTATGCTGTGGTGTTGATAGCTTTCTACGTCGATTTTTACTACAATGTAATAATTGCGTGGGCTTTACGATTCTTCTTCGCCTCCTTCACCAGCATGTTGCCGTGGACCACTTGCGACAACCCTTGGAACACCCCCAACTGCCGCCCTGTAAGCACTCGAAAACTTTCTTTTCACGCATTTTAACCTCTGACATGCATTAATCTGTTTCAGTTTGACTTCCCTTCACGAAACCTGACAGAAAACAACAAAACCGACTTGTCCATCCAACCGAACTCAGGTCTCGACTCCAGATTCGCCTCGGCCGCTTCCGAATACTTCAAGTAAAACTTTTAAGAAATTGACTAAAACATCTGTCTGACTTGATTATGTTTAAAATTCCAGTCGAGCGATTCTCGAACTTCATCAGAGTAAAGGATTGCATGACTTGGGGGCTATCAAATGGGACATGGCTTTGTGTCTTTTTGCGGTTTATGTCATTTGCTATTTTTCCTTGTGGAAGGGGATTTCGACGTCGGGAAAGGTGGTCTGGTTTACGGCGCTTTTTCCATATGCTGTCTTGCTGATTCTCTTGGTGCGGGGGATTACTCTTCCGGGATCTGCTGAGGGGATCAAATATTATCTCAATCCCAATTTCAACGCAATCACATCTGCTGAAGTAAATATTTTATTTTTTAACATTAATGGTACAATCGTAAGTTATACATTTACATTGATTGATTTACTATCAAGAACGATATTTTGTAAAAAAGGCTTGTACAGGGTGATGAAAAAAAGGCGCCCACGATTGAAACAGGCGCGTCCTTTTTTATTGAAACATTGTGACCATCATTCCAAAAATAGTCTAAATAAGATTCTTTTTAAAATTTAAACAGTTTGTCTAACAGCACAAAGCGGCAATATTGCACAAATTTCTTTTACTAAAAAACTATTTCACTCAGGTATTTTTCGTATCTAGGAAACCTTTTTGACTTTAATCGTTCAAATTTCACAGAACAAACAACATTGGAAATTGATTTTTTTGTTGCTACCGTTTCCAATAATTGATTATTACTTGGACATTTTCTGTATCCTAGAATATTTGCAATTAGTCCGGGCAATGAACACATTCAAGGTTACAATAATTCGTACAATGCTGAAAATTGGTACGAATGTTGGACACCCTATTATAAAAGAAATGTGAAAAGTCCAGATCGATCCCACATCTGCAAAAAGTTATTCAAGGTCAAATGTTGCAAAAATGGGATTTTTGCATTTTTCAGCCAAACGGTAAGTTTTATCATAAAAATACATCTGACAAAAATTGTAGAGCATCCAATTCTCTATAAAAAACGTTCCTATACTTTTTTTCCCAAGAGTTAGCGTTTCTGAGATATAGCGATTTAAAAAGTTGTGTTCTTCATAATATGCACACGTTTCCACGCCACCTGTGAGGTAGTGTACTTGGCGCATTTTTTTAATGTTTAATTAAAAAATATTGTATCAAATGACATATGGTACTACTGGAGATGACAAAAGTGATGTAAATTATGAGTAATATAGAGGAAAATTATTCATCTGATTGATAGTTATCTGATGGTATTTCAAATTCTTTTTCTTCTTCTTCTTCTTCAACTTCCTGCTGGGTACAAGTAAATTGTTCTAAAAGCGATGACACAGATGTCTCCTCGCAGATATTGTAAACATCTTCTCTTAATAACGACTCAACATTGGAGCATGATTGGCCTTGACAACTGGTACATGCTAATGAACAAAACAATCCAACTTTTTTGCAACCACATTTGGCATTACACCCCTTTTTGCAATTGCCAAAATTGTATTGAGGAGTTTTTCCGGTGCAGGTGGGAATAAAGTCTGAATTGGTCCCAATGTATTATTAACGAATTTCCAACCCCAGTCTTCTGGGTCCAGTTTATTACCAAGCCACATTTGAACATGATAATAAACCCGAAACAGATGTTGCTAAGCAGAAACAGAGGTTGGGGGAAGACTTGCCAATTGCACTCGTTTTGTGTTATGAGTATTTTTTAAAAAAGATAAGTATCGAAACTTATCTAAGCAGGTAATTTTTTAGAGGCTCCGTACATAGAAAGAAGAAAGCGAATTCCGTTGATGATTACAACTTGTGGAGTAGAATTACTATTGAAAAACTTCAGCACAATTAATTAAGTCTTGTTTTTCAAACAATTCAAAAATTGTTGTTTTATCTGCGAGCAGACATCTGATTCATCGCTCTTAGAACAATTTACTTGTACCCCGCAGTAAGATGAAGAAAAAGAAGAAGAAGAAGAAAGAAAAGAAGAAGACGAAGAAGACAGTACATTTCAAATACCATCAGATAACTATCAATCAGACGAATAATTTTTCTCTATTACTCGTAATTTACATCGCCTTTGTCATCCCCAATAGTACCATTTGTCATTTGATACAATATTTTTTAATTAAACAGAACCTCAATAGATCGTAGAAGAGGCCTACCGGGGAAACTACATAAAAAAACGCGCCAAGTACACTACCTCACAGGTGGCGTGGAAACGTGTGCATCTTATGAAGAACACAACTTTTTAAATCGCTATATCTCAGAAATGGTAACTCTTAGGAAAAAAAGTATAGGAACGTTTTTTATATATAATTGCATGCTCTACAATTTTTGTCAGAAGTATTTTTATGCAAAAATTCCATTTTTGCAACATTTGACCTTGAATAACTTTTTTTGCAGATGTGGGATCGATGGGGACTTTTCACATTTCTTTTATAATGGGCTGTCCAACATTCGTAGCAATTTACAGCTTTATGCGAATTATTGTAACCTGACCCCTATTTTTTAAGCTAATTTGCCCGGACTAAATGTTGCAACATTGATAAATTTTCTTTGGAGCCAAGAAATGGTATCCAAACATCTTCAATAAAGTTTATTTCAATAGACTTTTTACACATTTTTTTTAAGAACACCATCAACAGTATCAAAATCTAGACTTTAACAATGAAATTATTTTAAAATTGTTAATTATATAGATTTCTCTTTTGTAAAAAGGAAAGTCTATATCTTACTAATAAGAGCACAAATCCAATTTTGGTCTTCGAATTCGTCTTTAATAAAAGATCACTTATAACGTGTGGGTTAACACGAGCGCCTTTTTTTCATCATACTATATATCTTGTAGTTTCAAAATATTCAGGGTGTCGCAGGATACTGATTTCATTATTGAAAGAACAAATTTCAATTTTTAATTTAAATGAAAATATTTTCAAATTAACATCGATTTTAAAGAATTTTAAATAATTTTTGCTTCAATTAGTTTTTATAAAATAACAAAAATGCGTTTTGTGTGCAATAGCAGAAGAAAGGAAAAAACAAAAACAAAAAAATAAATAAAGAGTAATAAATTTATCTAAAATAAACCTAAAAAAATAAGTACCGAAAGAAAAGTAAAAAGTATTATTTGAAAAATACCTATATCATCATTTGATTTATTAGTTACTGAGTTTTTTTTTTACATGAATTCTAGTTTTTATAAAAAAGTAATAAAATCATCTAATTTACAAGTATGTTGGTTTCCACCTTCCATCAGTTACAAAAATTCTTAAATAGCAGTTAAAAATGTAACAAAAAGATGGGGACAAAGAGCAACCTGAATTTCCCCAGATCGAAATAAAGCGATTTAACTCAACTTACCTCTCTATAGCAAGTTACACCGTTTAAAAGTTAGAGGACGCCAATATAATTATGGTGTTTTGTTTAAATTAATAACTAATTACATTATTGTTAATTAATACAAACATACATACAGACACCAAAACCTAAAATTTTCTTGATACTATTTTAAAAACAATAGTAATAAATGGCCAACGTCCAAAATTTTAACTCATCTAATTAAATCATTTTTTCTAATCTAAAACCACTACTTATACAAAAATTTTATAAGTTACAAAAATTGTTTAAAAATAATATACCTTTCAAATAAAAAAAATTACGTATAACAAACATACCTATAGCTTAAAATGTGTTAAGTTGTTAATAAGTAAGTACTTTATAATAATAATATAATAAAAGGAATAGCCCTGAAACATGTGGTTTTGATATCAAATTGCCTGTACCAAATTTCATAGAAATCGATTAATCCATTAAAAAGTAATTAAAGACAAATATTTTTAAAACTTTGGCGCCCTCTAACTTTTAAACGCTGCAACTTAGTATAGAGAGGTATTACAACCATAAAGTTGGGTTAAATCGACAATTTTGAACAACGAAACTGTATTTCTGTTCAAGTGTCGTAAATTGTATAACAATGGAAAAAGGTTACAGATAAATAAAAACAGAAAAGTAGAAACGATGAAACATAATAACTGGAATGTAATGGGCAGAAATTGTAACAGACAAAAAACATAAAATGTAAAACAGAAATAGAAAAAATGTTATAAAACCATTTTTGATTGCAGTGTTACAAAGTCATTGAACATTGAAAATTAAGCTTTGTTGAAACTGTTAGTTTTTATAAAAAAATTGTAAAAGTACCCATTTTGTTGTTTTTTTTCACTTTGTGTCCACATTCAAACAATGTAAAAATTTAATTGATCCACCCTGTACACAAAAATTAGAACGAAATTTCAACTGTTGTCAATGTTACTCAACACAAATGGAGTAAATAGTGCAACAACAGAAAAATGTTAACGAAGAATATAAAAACAGAAAAATATAGGAAAAAAGTACTGAAAAATGGAAAAACAAAAAAGCAGAATAAAATAAGCAAAACTGACAAGATCTACACCCCCTCAAACGGGTGCGTTTTTTATTGTTTTTTTTTTCAATATTTTCGAAACCACTTTAGATAAAATTACAAAATTTGGCACAGATGATAACCTTATACACCTAAACAAATTCAAAGATAAACTGTTAAAATTTTTCATCAGGGGCTTCCTAAATTGGGTAGGTTCAGGGTAAAAAGTACTGTAACTATTTCGCCTGTAGTTTTTTGCCACTTTCAGCAACAAAATTCTAAATGTTATTGTTTTTCATAAAAAAAGTCTTTAGCGTTTGTCCGATACAACTTACCGATTATGAGTAAAATCAGTTTTAAAATTTATGTTACAGACTATAAACAGCATAAAAATTAAAAATTAAGTTTGTTTTACCGTTTAGGACGCTCCTGATAAAAAATTTCGACATTTCATTTTGGAATTCGTATGGTGTAAAAAAAAAGGTTATCAGCTGTACCAAATTTTATAATTTTCGTTATTCTAAAATATTTAAAAAAAAACATTTAAAAAACGCACCCCCTTTAGGGGGTGTAACTTCCTTTACGTAGCATTTTTCTAAACATGTTTATAAGAAACTTTTGTCTTAAAATTGAATATGTTATCATCTATTTAAATTTTTAACAATAAAGACGGAACACCCTGTATACTAAAGAAAGGGACAACAGAAAAACGGAGATGAAATGAGTAAAAATGATAACCGATCAAAAATACCAAAAACATAAAATAAAAAATTAATATAAAATTTGACTCGAATTACTGAGAAAAACTAAAGAGAAAATTCTTTTTATTTGATTTATTGTTTGTTTTGAGATTTTCCTAATTCATATTAAAAAAATTATTTCAGGTATGGGTCGACGCTGCCACTCAAGTTTTCTTCTCTCTCGGTCCCGGATTTGGGGTTCTCCTCGCTTACGCCTCCTATAACAAATACCACAACAATGTTTACAAGTACAGAACATTTTTTTAAATTTCAGTTGTAAAATTTATATTCTTTCAGAGACGCCATTCTCACTAGTGTTATAAATTCAGCAACAAGTTTTATAGCAGGTTTTGTGATTTTTTCCGTTTTGGGATACATGGCCCATGCAGCTGGGTGTTCCATCCAAGAAGTAGCAACTGAAGGACCTGGTCTTGTTTTCGTCGTATATCCTGCAGCTATTGCCACCATGCCTGGAAGCATATTTTGGGCATTGATTTTCTTTATGATGCTCCTCACTTTGGGCCTGGATAGTTCTGTATGCAATTGATTTTATTTATTTTAAGACAAATTTAATGTTTGGTGTTTTAGTTTGGAGGTTCTGAGGCTATAATAACGGCCCTCAGTGACGAATTTCCAAAAATTGGCCGTCACAGAGAAATTTTTGTTGCTTGTCTGTTCAGTTTGTACTTTCTAGTGGGTTTGGCCTCGTGTTCCCAAGGAGGATTTTATTTCTTTCACTTGCTGGACAGATATGCTGCCGGTTATTCTATGCTTTTTGCTGTCTTTTTTGAAGCAATTGCTGTTTCTTGGATTTATGGTAAGTAAGAAAACCAGGCGAAAAATTCTTATTAACTTTAATCATTTTTAGGAACGCAAAGATTTTGTGATGATATTAAGGATATGATTGGTTTTGCGCCGGGCTACTACTGGAGATTTTGTTGGAAGTTTGCAGCTCCTGTTTTTTTGTTATTTATTATTGTCTATGGATTGCTGGATTATGAACCTTTGAGTTATGAAAATTATGTCTATCCATCGTGGGCAAATATTTTGGGATGGCTTATAGCATGTTCGTCAGTTGTTATGATTCCAGGGGTAGCCATTTTTAAATTACTAACCACACCAGGGTCTTTTATGAAGGTAATTAACATGAAAAGTGTAAAAAATTGCAATATTACATTTTTATGAAAAAAAATCCAGAAATATTTTTTTCAAATATGTATTTCAAAATAATAGTTATGCGATTGTTACAAAATTTTGGTACCTATTTTAGTATTTTATTCAGCACTTTAAAACTTTTTGCCTCATTTGAAAAAAAAATTGTAGTGTATTTAAACTAGATAATACACCATTACCGTATTTCCGTTCCACACTGTATTTTTTTAAGAATATGAATTCTTTACCTAACGCAGAAAAAAAAATATCTGAAATGATTTTTGTTTTGAGTGATTCTCAATCAATAACTTTTTCAGTTCCAGATATTGCGGATTACAACTTTTAAAATTGCCACACTGTATACAGGGTGAACCAAAAGGTTTTTTTTTTGCTTAAACTATCTACTTTTTGAAAAAGCTATAGTTGATGAATGATAAAGTCCTTTAAAAATGTGATCGTTTTTCAAGAACAAAACTTTTGTAAAACTTGGTATTATTTTAAACGGTAGCCTGCCATGAAAAGTTTTTTAAACACAGACTTTGAACTTAAAGTTTGAAAGAAAAATGTAGTGTGTTGTCATTTTTAACCAAAAAATTGCATTACTCAAAAGTAAAACGGAATTCGATTTTTTTTGACCTAATTGTAAATAGTTTAAGAAAAAAAATGTGTAGTTAATAACGGGTGTTTTTTTTTTAATTTGGCAATCCGTGAAAGTTTGATTGTGAACGAACCATCCCAATTGACGCTTCGCCGGATGTATTAAACATTGTGGTTTGTTCACAACACACTCGTATCACCGCCAACTATGACGCGAAATTTAGTTATTGCTCTAATGATTTGTCTGATATTTTTAATTTTTCTCTGAATAAATTTTAATTTGTTTTAACTGTGAATTATTGTTCAATAAAATGTTTATTTGTTAATCAAAATATATTGTATATATAATAAAGAAACAACTTTTTCAGATTCTAATCAAAATCTAAATTAACACAACACAGTAAACTGCACATTTTTCTTCAAATCAAATTTTCGTTTTCTGACGGACAAAAACGATTTAATAATGTTGGTTAGAAATTCCATAAAAACCAAAATTTGTAGCAAATTTTTACTTTTTTCGTTTATACAATGTTAAATAACCAAACCATTAAAACAAATACACTAAACTTCACCTTAGTATCTTTTGCTGTTAAGCTGTTAATACTAATACTAATACTAATACTAATACTAATACTAATACTAATACTAATACTAATACTAATACTAATACTAATACTAATACTAATACTAATACTAATACTAATACTAATACTAATACTAATACTAATACTAATACTAATACTAATACTAATACTAATACTAATACTAATACTAATACTAATACTAATACTAATACTAATACTAATACTAATACTAATACTAATACTAATACTAATACTAATACTAATACTAATACTAATACTAATACTAATACTAATACTAATACTAATACTAATACTAATACTAATACTAATACTAATACTAATACTAATACTAATACTAATACTAATACTAATACTAATACTAATACTAATACTAATACTAATACTAATACTAATACTAATACTAATACTAATACTAATACTAATACTAATACTAATACTAATACTAATACTAATACTAATACTAATACTAATACTAATACTAATACTAATACTAATACTAATACTAATACTAATACTAATACTAATACTAATACTAATACTAATACTAATACTAATACTAATACTAATACTAATACTAATACTAATACTAATACTAATACTAATACTAATACTAATACTAATACTAATACTAATACTAATACTAATACTAATACTAATACTAATACTAATACTAATACTAATACTAATACTAATACTAATACTAATACTAATACTAATACTAATACTAATACTAATACTAATACTAATACTAATACTAATACTAATACTAATACTAATACTAATACTAATACTAATACTAATACTAATACTAATACTAATACTAATACTAATACTAATACTAATACTAATACTAATACTAATACTAATACTAATACTAATACTAATACTAATACTAATACTAATACTAATACTAATACTAATACTAATACTAATACTAATACTAATACTAATACTAATACTAATACTAATACTAATACTAATACTAATACTAATACTAATACTAGAAGAATTAGTTTTATAAAATGAGCATTGTAAGGCAACTTTCTTTATTTTCGAATAAAATACAAGATGTAAAGAAAGCTATTTTCTTTTTAGATTTTATGAACAAAAATGTAACTGATTTTTAAGAAGAAGCTTCATAAAATTTATTTTAAGTTCCACTGAGGTTCAGACTTATTTTATAGAATGATTCAAAATAAAAAATGTTTTTTTTTAATCTATCATAAAAATGTTCTGAAGTTCTAAGAAGCTTTTATTTGATCTAACTCTTTTTAGGGAATTGTTACCACAATACATGTAGATTAACATATTTTTGACTACCAAACTATACCTACTATTTTTTTCAAAATTTTTTGGGATCTTTAATATTCATTTTTTAGTCAAATGTTAAAGTCGCATTTCTCTGGTGAGTAGAAAAAATTCATAAATAAATAAAAAAATACGATAAACGTTCTCTTTAACATTTGAAAACTACTAAACCACGAATTTATCATTTGATTGAAGAATTTTTTTAAATTGTCCAAAAAGTATGTAAAGAAGAAAAAAAAGCAACAAAATTTCCGAAAAGGAGAAAATTTTTAAAACTTTAAAAAATTTTTAAAACATTAAACAGAACAAAAACAGTTTTTTGTGTAAGTAAATAATAATCTAAAAATTCGTTATTGTTTCAGCGCTTAAAAATTTTAATAACCCCTTGGAGAGACACGCAAATGAGTAGTCAAGTAAATGGTGTAGTGCGTTCAGAAAGCACCCAAGTCCGTTTAGCATCACCAGAAACCCCAGTCCAGCCTCCTTCCGAAGTGTGAGATAACCGTTTCAGTTGTAAATTTAAAGAATATTATGTTTAAATTATTTTCAAATTTTCTATTGGCGCAACATGTTTTTATTTTCATATCAAAGGGCCTACAAAATGTTCGAAAGCTGTTGCGGTTTTAGAAAATTTATTCAGTACTTAATTAATTAATTATAGTAATTATAACGTATTTTGTTAACTGTTAACAATACAAGTTAGTTTTAAAAATGAATGTACAAGTCGCTCACAGCTTTAAGACATCTTTGTTAGTTCGTAGATTTTGATACGATATTCGATAAAAATAAACTAAAAACAGCCATTAATAGAAAATAAAAATATTTTATTATCTATTACACTAGAATATTTTTATCGAATATTAGTTTTAAAGTGTATCCAAGTATAATAACAATCGTTAGATTACTCGTAGACTATATAGAAGTAGTAACCCCTAGTTTGATATGAAATGTTTTTATGTAAAATTTTGTACATCGACAAATATGACAGACATACTTGTTAGAAATAAGGCCAAAGATCATTAAACAGCCATTTAATGATCTTAAAATTTGTTACTATAGTTTATAGACGAAATTTACAAGTTTTTTTATCTTAAAATTAAGTATTTATTGATTTTTGAGATCCTCAACCAAAAAAAAAAAATGTACTTATGTGAAATTGTAAATGCACTATTGTGATATAGGCAAATGCTTGATGTTTATAGATACCTAATAATAGTTAAGAAACGACTTCCTTTATATGTAACTTTTGTTAGAGTAATTTGAAAATGTAAGGAAAAGATTGCTTGTAACAGCCATTGCAAGCAATTTTTTAAAGGGTGTATTTATATTTTTGTTTAATAAATTTTTATTTAATTCATTTAATAGTATTTTTGTATTTATTACTTCTCATACCTACCAACTGTTGATGCTTAATCCACTAGATCTCTCAATTTGACTAAACATTGGCGACACCTTTGAAAATGACAACACTGACTGCCAAATACAAACATCACACAAAATTTCAAATATTTTCTTTGTAAACTTATAGTTGTCTAAGTGTTTTATTCACGTTAGCGTGTAAGAATAGATTTCAATTAAATTTCACATAAATCAACACATATAAAATGTAAATTTATTTTCAAATAGTAAAAAAAGGAAATTTCTTTTTCATAAGTACGGATCGGATTATATGCAAAATGCATATTTGTTATTAAGAGGTATATCAACAAATTTGTAAGTTTTCTATGCATATCTAATGTTTTTTGATTAAAATAAGCCAATTAAAAAATGCATATTTTGCATATTTTCGCAACTTCGGGCATATTTTAGAAAATAATGCATATTTGTGCACATTTTCTTCAAATCACAAATTTCCGATTAAAAATTTCAGTTCAAGTTAAAAATTGACCAGTTTAAGAAAAATGATCTGATTACAAAATATTTTAAAGAGAAAACAAACGGTAAATCGTAAGCCGGACTCAAAGAATTAGTATCTTGCTGAGTGTTTCCTTTTTAAATTCGTTTTATACAGGGTGTAGTTTAGAACCAAACGTTTTTTTTTTATTATTTGCCTCTGGAAAATAATAATTAATATAAAATAAAGTAATATAAAAAAATTGTTCGTATTTTCAAAACGAAATTTAGTTTTGCTTTGAGTTATGCGATTTTTTTTGTTAAAATTGTAATTTTGTGTAATTTTTTTTTTAATTAATAAAAAGTAGATAGTCTCTAACAGTTGTTTTTGGGAGAGTATACAAAACATTTTTTAGTGGGTTGCCATTTAAAAAAAATAAATTTTTTGTAAAACTCAAAAACAAAACAAAAATTCGAAAAAATTTATTCTTGATAAAACATTTAATTCATTAATTAGTTTTTAAAAAAAAAAATAGTTTAAGCAAAAAATGTTTGGTTCCATTCACCTGGTATAAAACGAATAATGTGGATAAGTAGTTGCCTGGAAATGAATTTTAGTAAAATTGTTTAAAGTTATGTGATCTGAAAAGTACAGATTTCTTAGAAAGGCTTAATTCTAGGTAGGTTATTAAAATGGCTTGTCTGAGACAAAACCAATTTATTTATTCTCTTTCGTTAATCCTGTGCGGTTCAAGATGATAAAAGTACAAACTTTAGTGTACTGGAGAATAAAAATTTATTACAACTTTTTTTTATTGTTAAAAGTTCTGCATATCGATGCATATTTGGCATATAGTTGAGAATATTTCTTAATATTTTGTGCATATTTTTGTGAAAATACGTGCATATACAGGGTGCGCCAGAACTCGCGCCCCAGAAAAAAATGCCATATAAAGTAAGATACCGGGAACATGGAAAAAATGTTAAAAAAAATTATCTATAAAAATTTCGAAGTTATGAGGGTTTAAAATTTGCACTTTGACTCTATTTATTTCTGTTGGAAAAATAATTTTCCAAGTTTTGGTGCTATAGGCTATTACAAGAGGAAACAAGGAAGCTGTATCCTAATGTTTAATGTTATTTGTGGCTTTTATTGGCAAAATTTTTGTCACTTTACTAAATAATTGTAAAAAAAACATATACAAGATCATCAGTATCATTAAATAGATATAAAAAAATGTCAACTGTCAAAAAATAAATGTCAAAATTTTTTGACAGATGGAATTTTTTAAACATTTTTTTCATGTTCCTGGTATCTTAGCTTACTTGAAAATTTTCTCTGGGGCGCGAGTTCTGGCGCAACCTGTATATGCGCATATTTTACGGATTTTTCGTGCATATAATCCGAGCCTTATTCATAAGTAATACTCTGTTATGATGTGACTTGAGCTCTGATGCTTACGAAAAAATAAATTAATTTAGTTGTAAACTCTAGTGGAAAATTGTAAAAGAGCAACTTATGATGCACATTAAAGAAAAGACCTACTCGTATTATTAATAAAATTAATGAAAATTTTTTAACAGTGACGTTGTCAAGCATATGCATGTATGTGTTTAAGAAGCCACTAAACGACACATTTGCCTTGTTGAAGATTCTTGATTCAAACGACCCAAGAAATTTGGAATTTCTTGTAAAAGTTCCACAATGTAATTCATTTATGTATAAACACTGAATGAGGAGGTACAACCAAGCAGGTTAGATCTAACCTCCTTGGTAGATACACTATAGAAACGGAATAATTTAAATTTATAATTAGAGTGTAAAGTATTTCCTCCGGGTGGTTGGTACTCTTGACAGTTATGACTCAAATTTGACACAAATTCATTTGAGGTAAAGTTTAAAATAACGAATAAACACAAATTTTATTGTATAAATTACAATAAATGCTCAAAATGCCCTCCTTCCATCTCGAAGTATATTAAAACATGTTTCTTCATATTTTTTTCGCCCAACATATCCTCGTGCACAAAAATTAGCAAGACTAGTGCTACTTTGGTAAACCTCAGAGAAACCAAGAAGGATATCGATAGGCGGAGCTAATGCGTACTCGGTGGGGAAACTTGAGCAATGGCGTAACACAAAACCATTCTGTGATAAAAAGGGAATTGTAGAGTTGCATTTTTTTTCGTATATTCATTGACTGAGATATTATATACATATAAAAAATTTATAAGGTGCTCCACAAGTATTTCAAATATACGGTGATATTAATTTCTGTATAAATAAAAGGATATGGCATTTTTCCTGGAGCGCGTGTTCTGGCACACCCTGTATAAGTTCAATAAATTGTTTTGATTTGTTGTCATTTTTCTTCTTACTATCGGGATAAAAATTACAGAAAAAGGAAATTGAGGTTAGTCACCTAAGGCACGTTTTACATTTTTATGTCAGTCGAATGATGAATCGTCCAAAATTCCGTGTCTGCCAGTGTATTAAAAAACAATTTTTTTTAATATAATTTAATAATTAATTATTTAAAGTTAACATTCATAAGATGCATCTGTTAATAAGTAGGTATATTAAACATATTATCGATGTTTTGTATTCACACCTAGTCAATTAGATATGTAAGAAGATGAACTCTTAAATTCTTAGCGACCAATCAATAACTCATGAAATAAAATTTATATTAAAAATAGTTATTTATTCGACGGGTTTGAGTGTAAATCGGACGGATTATCTCACCGAGTGGGTTTTTAAACCACGAGTGTAACGAGTGGTTTATCATCCACGAGAATAAATATTTTTGTATTATTTACTTACAGCTACATTAAAAAAAAAAACGAGTAATGAAACATTTCCAAATGTAAATTCGGTTCTACTTGTCAGTTATAATCAACTTGACAATACCTATAAAAAATATTTCTATCAATGTGATTAAATTTATACCAACTTGTGCAATGCTGCATTTAAGTGAAGTAGGGAAAGCCAAAATTGTCGCTCACCTGGAAAATGGTAGGAAAATTATGAATTTAAGGACAGAATTTAGAGTGAGAAAAAGTACCATCGGAAGGATTAAAAAAAGTGGGTAAATGAGCGCACCGTGAAATGCAAGGTGGGTTTGGGTTGCCCTAAAAATACAAATAATTAAGTATTAAGTTGTTCAATTTGTTACTAAATTCAAACATCTAATTTGTTCAGATATAACCTATTTATTTTTTAACTGACATGCCATCAAAATGTTTTAATATATTTTTAATAAAACGCATTCACACCTTGAAAAAATTGAAAAAAAACTCTAAATTTTGTTGACATTTCCTGTTTTTTTTTTAATGTAACTGTACTTCAAACGATCTCTGATTTTTCATTTGTCAAATTAGTTCATAATCTAATAATGATTACTGAGTACTGCAATTTATAAAAGAACAAATGTCTTAAAAATGTTACTTATTAATAAAGTAACAAAATCAAAACGCCACTGCTCTCAGATGATTTCAGAACTTCCCTATATTTACGAATGGATTCGTCCGCGACCAGTTTTCGTCTCTGCGCATCCCTTCCATCGATATCCTTCTTGGTTTCTCTGACCTTTACCTACGTACAACTCGACAAAATTTTGAAAAGCTTGACGAAAATCACGTGATGCGAATGGTATGTTTATCTGTGGTATCTAAAAAATAAATATGTAACCAAAAAGTGTTACTTTCTCTCACGACTCTATACAGATTGATTCACCTAAGATGACATATTTATGTAACTCTGTGAGGCTTGTCAACTTACGTGAATAAGACTGTAGGTATACTTATTCATTACAATGATAAGAAAATTATGAAACTCCTATTTCTAAAGTAGTCAAACGGTGAAAATGTCAATCAACCTTGATTAAATTGAAACAAAATGACCAAATACGTCGTAATAGCCCCAGCAATCTGAAATAGACTCTAAGCACAGTTTCAACAATATAAATTAGACAACCGTAGTCAACAACCCTCGATTTATTTTAGTAAACCCATATGCCGAAAATTCGATTTTACACTCTCCTAAAAACGCCATAAAAAATTCCAAAGATTTTTTAACTTCTTTATTTAAATTCAAACACAATAGTTTGCAAACCAGTTGTGTTGTTTCTTTGGTCTTAAAACTTTTATTATTTTTTAAAATTAAAAAACTGATTTTTTACCTTGAGAAAACATCCATGACAAGGCTCTACAATTAACAATAAACGTAAAATATGAGCAGTCATCCACACTGTTTGCAATAGAATTGAAGTGCTATCATCGCCTGTGCTCTTGATTATGGAATAGAGGCCATAAGGAGTGACCAATAAATGAATCAAACAACCTAAAATTATAACCTGGAACAAGTAATTACCTTTATTGTTATTTTTGGAATTATTACCAAAATCTGAAACCCGTAACAATCATTCACCGAATTTGTAGCTTCGATTAGTTTTTCGTAAGCTTTGATTAAATCTAGAACTTGAGCTTCAATCAAAATTTACTTTTTTGATTTTAAAATAAATAAATCTTACCATTTTTTTCTAACACAAAATTCATTTTTGTTCCTATCACAATCATGTTTGTCAATTTTTCATTAATCACACTGATGCGAATTTGGATAAAGTGCACATAATGCCAAAAAATCAACTCTACGACCACAGTAGACCAATAAGAAATGTAATAAGGGAGACAAAGCAAAAAAATGTTGTTGCCACTTAACTTAAACCATAAAAATAAATCAACACTTAGAGTAAAAGTAGTGCAAAATATTGTTAGAGCTGTTGTCAAATAAACTTTTGGTGATTTTATTGGTTGGTTTAGAAGAGAATCGAACTGTAAAAAGTTTTAATAAAAAAATTGTTAAATTTATACAAGGTCATTATAAATGTTTGTAGTCTAGCTAAATACTTGATAATGCACTAATTATTAATTTTTGCAAAAATGCTTGGTTCCACACTTTTTGTTCACCATGTATAAACAGGGTGAGTAATATAATAAAAAATGTAATCGATTTTTAGACGCAATCCAAAATACATTCTCACTGAGCACATGATTTTGCTGCGTTTGAAAAAATTAGATTATTAAATTTAAATCAAAGTATCTATATACGAGGGGCACTAGAAAAGTAATCTACCTAGCCATGAAAAAAACAATTGAAACGCACAAGTATAATTCATCCAAATAGTGCCATGTATTCTAACATTACCTGCAAAATTTGAGTTAATTGTGAAAATTAGTTTTTAATTATCCGTCATTTTTACCAATGGGTAAAAATGAATTAAAAAATTAAGTGCAAAGTATTTGTCAAGCACACATGTTATACACAGCGATAAAAAAGTTGTTCCATCAAGTGGGCGCACTAATCGAGCACGGCAGTCTGTATGTTAACGAGATGTCAATTAAAAATTATTTTATTAAAATTGAAATATAAGTTGTATTCTTCTGTCAAACCTCTCAAAATATTTTTAAGTTTGATGTTTTTGGTGTTTACCCATACAAATCGTTTATCACGGACTCATGTCAAAATTTTATATAAAAATAAATTTCACATTAAAAGACGTTTTAACTTTCCAAATTTCAACGCTAGCTTGACAGAAAAACTTTTTGTGGGCATAAACTAAAATACGAGGGCATGACTTACTTATTAGACTACATACATTTATAATGACTTTATAGATAAAATAGGTACTTGTTTCAAGTGTCTTAAATAGGTAATCGTTTGATTCGTTTTAAGTAGCGCAGAAATAGAGCCTATTATACAGGGCAAAAGGACGACCACAACATCCGAATAAGTGACGAAACGTCGCGTGGTGTCCCCAAGTCTAATTAAATAAATAACCTCCAATTTATAGACTTGTGAAATACCATAAATACTTGCCACAACTGTAAAATTTAAAAAATGAAACACTCTGTATAGTGACGTGAGTTTAAATAAAAACGTGGCCAAGAGTCAAATATTAATTATAATCCTTTTTTTTTCAAATATAATTGTATTCATTTTGTCATTTTATTAAATGTAACAATTTATGCAACTATGCAATCTTGATCACGTTTTTATTTAGATTTGTATTAATAATTTCTTAAAAACACACCTAAAAGAAAACTTGTAATTGCACTATAAATCGTATAAAAGCGAGACTTTATAATTATGTAATTATTGGAAGAAGTTTTCTTCCATTTCAGTGGTTGTAAACAGAAAAATCTACTAAAATACAAAACAGGAAATAATAGTTGGAACAGTTCTTTAGATATGATAACACTCATATTTTCAATACAAATCAGGAGCTAAAATAAAACGTTTTGAAGGAAAAAAACAACAATTATTGCAAGCGAACAATGAATATTTAATAATGTTTTTAGGTATGAGATTAATCGTTAACACGACTTTGATCATGTTTTATTTTCGTTGTACGTAGTATGTACATGAAAATTTAATATACAAGTGTACCAGAACTCGCGCCCCAGAGAAAAATATCAAATGCCGGCGGCAATAGGTCCCCAAAAAGAGCAGCCGAAGAAGTAATTTTTGATTGTATAAGAAAGTTGCGAGACTCGTAATTCCACCAATCTTAGATGGGCACTTCAGGGTGTGATTGAAAAATTATATATTATATTACAAAAATAATACAGTTGGTTGCAATAAAAACATAAAATTGAATTTTCTTTAGAATGAAACAGGTTTTGCCCTTGTCAATTTAGTTGTCAATTTGTCATCTGTCGCATTCAAATATTTTTTTTGCAATGCCGCACTTAAATGCCGAGAGCATCAAATGCAAATCAAGATAATCAATTAGTTGAGTACTTACGTGAAAACCCAATGAGTAATGAGTACTACAGATTAACTGTCAATTCTAACTTAACCTTTTAGAATTAAGCCATGTTCAAACTATGGATAAATATAAAAATCTGACATTTTTATGCTTTGACATCTTCCGATTTTTTTTGCAATTAAGTGTACCAATTTGCCTTAAAGTTTCAAAAAATAGCTGGATTACTGTAATTTTGACGTTTATTAATTTTCTGTCTGTTCTGTTCTCGAATATTTTTTTCGCTGAAGATCATGCTATGGTTTCTTAGATTGGTGAATTTAGTCTATCTACTTAATTTAGCGTCCAAACACCAAAGACGCTCACATCAAAATTTTACAGTTGGCGGTGATACCTCTAATAGAAAAAATGATAAGACGGTGAAATCATTCAAAGTGCTTACGTGTAGTTGCGATTTTTAGATTTTTATTCAGTTATTATGTACAGATGTGTAGCTGTGTGTACAGTTGCGGAATTAAAATTTCGGACAATACTTTTCTGTCACTTTAAAAAGTTCACTGTAAACTACCCTTTACTGTCATCATGACTAACATTATACAATTAAACTTTTTTTGTTGTTAAAATAGTTAATAAACAATTTGTGTGTCTTAGAAAAATTTATTAATTAAACTAAGTGTAATTAAATCATCGCTTTGATCTGCTGCCTACCCGTTATTATGCCACAAATCACTATTTTTGAAAGTAAATAAGTCAAAATGACATAAACATGACAAGAGTAAGAAATGAGATTATTAATGTAAAGGTTGTTTTAGAGTTTACATTGTGAAAATGACAATACTGCCCGAAATTTTAATCCCGCAACTGTACAAGTAAAGGAAGTTTTAATAAAAATGGGATTTTCTTTATTTGGAATTTTAATGCGCTCGAACGAGTTCTCGTCCAGTGAAATTCAAAACATATACTTGTAGAGAATTGAACGATCTACAAAAAAGAACAGAACTGATTTTTTTGCTTAGTCGACTCGTTTAAAAGTTATTCGAGTTTAAAATACAACCTCAAATGGTAGGTAAATGATGACTTTTACAATTTTTATATTCTAACACAAAATAATGGCTCAAAAACATAAAATATCATTTTTCGTGACTTTTTTTGTAGTATCCGCCTTAAGGAGCAGAGGAACATAAATGTAAAATAAAACACTTTTTTCTAATAATATTGCAAAAAATATGGGCGTCAGACCTACAGTGGGATGAGAATCTACCTGAAGACCTGATCGTCAGATGGCAAACATTCTTAAATAATTTTCAATCTCTTCCAAGCTTATCCATACCGCGACGCGTAAATTTTCATAAAGGTGAATTAGAAATTTACGGTTTTTGCGATGCCAGCGAAATGGCATACGGCGCTTGCGTGTATCTACGGGCAATTGACGAAAATGGCGAATTTCAAACAAGCATTTTATGTTCAAAAAATAAAGTCGCTCCACTACGCTCCACGACAATACCCCGGCTAGAATTATTGCTTGCGCAACTGGTAGACTCAGTCACAAGAGCTTTGCAAGTACCACTCACTAAGTGTTATTATTGGACAGACTCGAAGATCGTGTTAGCATGGTTAAAAATGAGCCCAAACCGATTAAAACAGTTTGTCGAGCACCGCGTGACAAAAATCCAAAAATTAAGGCTCTTCATCGTAGAAGATAACGGTAAATCCTGAACTGCAGTTGAATGTTTAATTTTTTTGTGTCATACAACATTGCAATTCGTCATTTTTAACCGATTTTCTATGCGTCAGCCGGCTATCACTGTTGCACTCATCGGTGTTCATATCTCCTTCAACGACAGCGAATTTGAAAGGCCGATAGATACGACCCGGGTACCTACTGGTAATAAAGTAATAAATTTTAGAATAGGGCCTCATCGCAGGGTGTAACCCACAAACATGATCGTTTTATTTCGTTAGTTCCAAGCAAAGATATGCATCTGCACCCCTCAAGAAGAGAATTGTTAGTTCATTTCAAAACTTCAATTTTTTAATTATTCATCTATTTAAAAATAAATTAAAAAATTGATAGGTTTAATATAAAGGCACTAAGTCCAATACGTAATCCTAAAAAAACTTGATATTTATATTAATTTCACTGTGCTTAGGAATTATGTGTATTACAAAAAGTTAAAAAAAATAAAAACATTTTGAGAGACAAAAATACTTCACAAAGTACTAATTTTTTGACAATTACTTRTTATCATTTATTACTGTCGATTTGTGACTTGTACTCTCCAATCTAGTGATCGGAAAGCAGGGCACTCTCCGATTTAGCGATCGGAAAGCAGGGTACTCTCCGATCTAGCGACCGGAAAGCAGGAACCTTGTAGAGCTGAATTATTTATTTATTTATTTAGCACTTATCACAGTAACAAATGGAATAAAAAACACTAACGTTACAAGTTACAAGCGGCTGTACTTTACATAGAGCAACTATTTTTTAAACACATTTCAGCATAAGCTGGTAAATAGTGATTGTAATAAAATTGTTTGATTAAAAATTATCTGAATTTCTTCAGGAGTTTTATTAATTACTTTCAAAACATCTTTGCACAACACAACCATAATCACCATCCGCTTCTTCAGTAATTTTTCTTCTGTTTACTAGATTGTTGTCATTATTTTTATTTAATTTTCGTTTTAAATTATTTGCTTTTATTTTTTGTTGTGCATTTACATATTTAGTAGTATAATATCCCGGACTCTTTTGATTTACAGCCTTTTTCAAACAATGTAAATATTTACCTTTAGAATTATATGAAATCAAAGTAGCATTCCCCCGCATTTGGTACTTCAAATTTAAATTTATT